GTGTGTGCACGTGTGTGTTTCTGGGGATTTGAACCAGGACCTCACGCATGCTAGGTAAGTACTCTGCCACAAAGCTGCATCCCAGCCTAAGATTTCCTTTTTGTTTTGTTGTTTGTTTGTTTGAGACAGGGTTTCTCTGTGTAGCTGTGTAGTCCTGGCTGTCCTGGAACTCACTGTAGAGCAGGCTAGCCTCAAACTCAGAGATCCTCCTGCCTGTCCTCTGACTGATGTGGTTAAAGGTGTGCGCCACCACTGCCAGGCTCCAAGATTTCCTCTTTGTCAAAGAGAACACATCTGTTCTCCCATGGCTCTGAGTTCTCCATACCGATGTGATGACAGGGTCAGGCCAGGTAGGGTGGCACACATTGGTATCTGAACCCTGGGGAGGCTGAGGCAAGAGGAGATGGATCTTGAGTTCCAGGCCAACTGGGGCTTCGTAGAAAGCCTTGTCCTAAAAACAAAACGGAGCCATGTGGTAATGGCACATACCTTTAATCCCAGCACTCGGGAGGCAGAAGCAGGTGGATCTCTGTGAGTTCATGGCCAGCCTGGTCGACAGAGTGAGATCCAGGACAGCCAGGGCTACACAGGACTACCCTGTCTTGAAAAACAAAAACCAAAAGGAAAGAAGGAAAGGCATGAAGCAGCCTGGTACACTGTAGAGCTCGGTGCTCTGGGACGAAAGCTTTCCTTGTGCAGTAGGAGTGGCCAGCCTCACTGGTTAATTCCAGAGGTGTGCTGGTCTCGTATGAGGTGTGCCTCTTTCTCTTTCCGTAGTGCTAAAATAAAAAACATCATTTCCACGGAGGATGCCAAGGCCCGGCTGCTGGCAGAGCAGCAGAACAAGAAGAAGGACAGTGAGACTTCATTTGTGCCCACCAACATGGCTGTGAACTATGTCCAGCACAACCGCTGTGAGTGCCCTGCCTGCCCCCACACCCCAAGAGTCTAAAAGCCCCACCTCCTGCCTCATGGTCCCTTGTTCTTTCTCTGCTCAGTTTATCACGAAGAGCTCAATGCACCCATCCGAAGAAACAAAGAAGAGCCCAAAGCCCGGCCCTTGCGAGTGGGTGACACAGAGAAGCCAGAGCCTGAACGTGAGTACAGCCCTGGGTGGCACTTAAGTGGCCTGTGTAGACAGAGTCATGCTGGGCAGGGCAGTGCTGAAGCCCTAAGGGACCAAGGCATCTGACCCAGACTCCTGTTGAGGACCATGGCCATGTGCCTTCCCCTGTCCAAGCTGGGGGCTCCTCCTTGGTAAAATGAAGAGAGGTGTAGGGGCAGCCCGTTGGTTGCTTGGGGGACCCCAAGCTGTCAAGCTAGTAGAGACTGAGTGTGAAAGTTTCGGAAAGGGAAAAGCAAACACCGGGAAATAAGAGCCACATGGTAAGTCCACCTGAGCCTCAGTGCTGGCTGCTGTCGTGGCCAACTCCAACCAGATCCTCACTTTGGAACAGTAGTCTCTGCTGGTTCCACCATGACAGGCAGCCTCTGTTCTCCTTAGGGTCCCCTCCCAACCGCAAGCGTCCTGCTAACGAGAAGGCCACAGATGACTACCACTACGAGAAGTTTAAGAAGATGAACAGGCGCTACTGAGGGCTGGATAGCGCGTACATACACCATGAGAAGTTTGAGGAGATGAGTGGGGAAGGAGGGGCACACACACTCACACATGTCCACGTACAAACAATGCCCTGCGTAGAACCCGCTTGTTAGTTACTGGGGTTCTCCATCAGATGGCGCTTCTGCTTACCTGCTAAATTTCTGTTCTGGTTTTGGGTTGGAGACGGCACCACCTCTCTGTATATCCCAGGCTGGCCTTGAACTCCCTCTTCCTCCCTACTGGAATTTTAGAGGCCCCACCACACCTGACTGGCATTTTCAAGCACTGACTTTGTAGTTTTCAAAGTAAAACAATATATCTATGTCTATGTTGTTTCCTACCTGGGCAAACCTTCTCAAGAGTGTTATTAAATTGTTTGTAAATATGTTGCCTTTGTCTTAATGTTGTCCCAGCTCAGGAAGACCTAGATGTGTTCATTGTGGGTTTGTTTATTTTTGTTTGTTTGTTTTGGTTTTGGTTTTTCGAGACAGGGTTTCTCTATGTAATTTTGGAGCCTGTCCTGGATCTCACTCTGTAAGCCATGCTGGCCTTGAACTCAGAGATGCGCCTGCCTCTGCCTCCCGAGTGCTGGGATTAAAGGCCTGCGCCGCCGCCACCGCCGCCACCACCACCCCTTATTTATTTACGATTTATTTATGTATATGGGTGTTTTGTCTTCATGTATGTCTGTGTACCCTGTGTGTACACACAGTGCCTATGGAGGCCAGAGGAAGGTGTCAGCTATCCTGGAACTGGAGTTACCCATGGTTGTGAGCCGCCATGTCCATGCTAGCAATCGAGCCCGGGTCCTCAGGAAGAGCAGCCTGTACTCTCAACCACTGAGCCATCTTCTCTAGTCTATTTACATTGTGTTTTGTGGTTATATACATAACCATGGTTTCCGTCACTGTTTGAAATGGGCTTGAAAAATACATCTGTCCTTGCTGGGTGTGGTGGCACATGCCTTTAATCCTCACACTCAGGAGGGAGAAGCAAGGAGATCTCTGTGAGTTCGAGATCTACCTGGTCTACATAGTGAGTTTCAGGACAACCAGGAGAGACTATATTTCAAAAAGGAAAGAAAGAAAGAAAAATACATCTGTCCAGTTCACAGCAAAAAAATGGAGGATGGTTGAGATACACTGTCATTCCCTGACTCTTACAGACTACAAGTTCTTTTGATTAAGAAGGAAAGGCAGAGGCAGGCAGATCTCTGAGTTTGAGGCCAGCCTGGTCTACAGAGCGAGTTCCAGGACACCAAATTTACACAGAAAAACACTGTTTTGTTTTGTTTCCCCTCTTTGGTCCTAGATTGGTCTTGATCTTAATATATAGCTAAGAGTGACCTTGGCTTCTTTTCCTCCTACCTTTACCTCCTGGAATTAGTTTAGCGCCACAATTCCTGGCACAGGTGATTTCTGTAGACATTTTGCCCTCAACAAGCTTGAGCATAACTCTCCACTGCCTTAAGTGTGGGCCTTGCACACTGACTTCCAAAGAGGAGGGAGGTCCACAGGGAACCTCACAGTGGAAAACACGTAGATGCAGCCTTGTGCTGATTCATTTCTGTCAGTGACATAAACCTAGACGTAGATGGGAAGAGGAAACCTCACCTGAGAAATTTCCTCCCTCAGATTAGGCTGGAGGGCTTTTTCTTATTTACTAATGGATGTACGAGGGCCCAGGCTGCTGTGGGTGGTGCCATCTCTAGGCATGTAGACCTGTAGCTGAGGGGCTGGAGAGATGGCTCAGTGACTAAGAGCACTGACTGCCCTGCTAGAGGACCTGCGTTCAGTTCCCAGCACTGACATGGTAGTTCCAGTGGATTTGACACCCTCACAGACAGACATGCAGTCAAAAAAAATGCACATAAAAATAAATAATAAAAGAAAAAGCAAGCCAGAGGGAACATGCTAGTAAGTATGTAATTCCACGGGCTAGTAATTCCACGGGCTCTTCAGTTTAGGCCCTCAGGTTCCTACCTTGAGTTCCTGCCTTGGCCTCTCTTGATGGAAGATGAAATAAACCCTTTCCTCCCATAAGTGGCTTTTGGTCATAGTGTTTATCATAGTAATTGAAAGCAAAGTAGTACGTACCATCAGAGGCTGGAGAGATGCTAACAAGTTAAGGGTGTCATTCTTGTACAAACCTGAGTTCAATTCCTAGCACCCACTTTGTTCCCCACACCCCAAAGAAATTTTAAAATGAAACAAGGAACAAGGTCTGAGGTATGCCTCCACGATAGCATTTGCCTGCAGTGCATGAGGCCCTGGTCTAGGCAGACTTTCCTGTCCCAACAGCCCACTACCAAATAACCACAGACTTATTAATTATCGATGCTTGGCCGATTTAGGCTTGCTACTAACTAGCTCTTTCAACTTAAATTAATCCGTATTTCTTATCTGTGTTCTATCCTGTGGTCCTACCTTTTTTCAGCATGACATGTTCATCTCCTGCTTCCTCTGCATCTAGATGGCGACTCTGCCCTCCTTCCCAGCATTTTCTCAATCTGGCTCTCCCGCCTAACCTCTTCCTGCCTAGCTATTGGCCAATTGGCTCTTTATTAAAACTAATGAGAGTAATACATATTCACAGTGTACATAAGGATTATTCCACAGCCACCTTGGATTCATCCTAGTGCCCCCCAAGTGTCTAGCTAGTATTCCTCAAAACTCCCAAGTCATTTAAAAAAACAAGGCGCGTGTCAGATGCATCCAAGAGGAGTTGGGGGTCAGCACTGTGGGGAGCGGGATGGGTTCCCTAAGTAAGAAACTGGATGAACTATGGGCTTTAGTTACTATAGTGGTTCATAGATTTTAACAAGTATAATATAAAGATGTCAATTTTTTAAATTTCTTTAGATATGGGAGTCTCATTGTGTAGCCCTGGCTGCCCCTATAATTTGCTGTGTAGGCCAAGATGGCTCCAATTTACAGAGATCCACCTACCTTGGCCTCCAAGAGTGCTAGGATTAAAGGTGTGTGCCACACTACCCAGCTCTCAAATGTCAGATTTATTTACTTTTTATTTTTTTGAGGCAGGGTCCACTATGTATTTTTGATGTGCCTCAAACTTGTACAGATCTGCCTGCCTCAGCTTCTTGAGTGCTGGGATTAAAGGCGCACACCACCCACCGCAACTTGACCCAACGTCAGATTTTAATAATAGGGAAGCAGCCGGGCGGTGGTGGCGCACGCCTTTAATCCCAGCACTCTCTGGGAGGCAGAGCCAGGCGGATCTCTGTGAGTTCGAGGCCAGCCTGGGCTACCAAGTGAGTCCCAGGAAAGGCTCAAAGCTACACAGAGAAACCCTGTCTCGAAAAAAAAAAAAAAACACTGTTCTAAAACATTCTGTTATTTGATGAGGGTGGGGGGGATGTAATCACCACCTGATTCCTATCAAGGTTCAGAAGCAGAAATGGCTTTGCCCTTAACAAAGATGGCAGCCATTAGCGTCGGGGGACGGCCTGCCTGAGACAAAGAGGGCGGCCTAGCATACAGGAACCGGAAGTTCGCGTCTGGCGGTGCGCAGGGTACGGTGGGCGCTGGGACGCGCAAGCGGCGCGGGTCCGGGCATGAAGCTGGGCCGGGCCGCCCTGGCCCTGCTGCTGCTGGCGCCGTGTGTGGTTCGTGCGGTGGAGCCCATCAGCCTGGGCCTGGCCCTGGCCGGCGTACTGACTGGCTACATCTCCTACCCGCGCCTCTACTGCCTCTTTGCCGAGTGCTGCGGTCAGAAGCGGAGCCTCAGCCGGGAGGGTAGGCGGTACCAGGGACGGGCGGCAGGCGGCAGGGGCGCTGCGGCAGGGGCGCTGCGGCAGGGGGATGCTCCGCGGCCAGGTCAAACTTTGGCCCGAGGCCTGAGAGATGAGTTGCCGGGCGGGGAGCTAGGGTGTCAGCCCTGCGCGGAGCTCACCGGGGTGGCCTCCCCGCGTCTCTTCCGCTTGGCTCTGGGGAACATCCCCAAGCCCAGGCCTTAGGAAGGGCGGAGTTCGCGGCACCAGGGTCCTTCAGCGCTCTCTAGACCGGGCTCCGCGGGCTCTGATAGCCTGGACATGAGGCTGCATTTTGCCTGCTTGCTTCTCTCCTGACCAGAGTGATCTTTCCATTCCCAGCGCTGCAGAAGGATCTGGATAACAAGCTCTTTGGACAGCATCTTGCAAAGAAAGTCATCTTAAACGCCGTGTCTGGTTTCCTAAGCAATCCGAAGCCCAAGAAGCCCCTTACCCTCTCCCTGCATGGGTGGACAGGCACCGGCAAAAACTTCGCCAGCAAGATCATCGCAGAGAATATTTACGAGGGTGGGCTCAACAGTGACTATGTGCACCTGTTTGTGGCCACGCTGCATTTCCCCCACGCCTCTAACATCACCCTGTATAAGGCAAGAGCATTAATTGGCCGCCATCGTGGATGACCCGGATTTGGGGTTTCTCTGTTGTGGGATGAGATGTGGGAATTCCACGTCAGTGAGTGAGCCTCAATATGGCTCTTTATATGTCAGTTCCTCTTTAAAAGCTGTGGGCATAGCTGGCTGTGGTCATGTCTGCTATTCTGGAGGCAGAGAGAGGCTGGAGGAACTTCTACAGTTGAGGATAGCCTGTGCAGTGCGGCTCGGGAGCGTGTTTCAAAGGAAAACAGTGAGGGCTAGGGGAGCCCAGAGTAGAGCACTTGCCCACACCCTGGCCCTGCCCGCCGCAGCGGGAGTGGTAGTGGATGTGTACGTTACAGAGGGTTTGTGATACATAGAGCAATTAGACCACCAAAGTTTTATGGGTGACCTCTAGGCTCGGTAACACATGGCAGTGGACAAGTGGGGACATAATCCAATCCAGCTTCAGGGTCTTCAGGTCCCACCCGCATTGTGAAAAGGAAACATGGAGGTCCAAGTTTGCTTTGACTTGGCTGTTGCAACCCGCTTTTGGAGTTTATCTCTGGTTAAGAGCCCACACCTGAATCAGGTCCTAACGCCCCCTCCCTCCAGCTGTGCAGCGTGGGGACCGTCTGCTAACCTTTCTGAGAGGCACGCTCTTTGATACAGAATGGTGCTTTGCCCTCACTTGTGCGAAGCACCCCACCACCACCGCTTTCTGTTAAACATCCGGGTCACCATAACTGTGGGGCTTTGGGCAGGTTGTTTAATCTCTGTGCCTGTGATCAGCTGGGTTTTTTCTACACAGCTGTAGTCTCAGCAGGCTGAGGCAGGAGGATCACATGTTTGAGGCTAGCCTGGGCTACACAGTGAGCCTCTGTTTGAAAACGGAGAAGGGGAGGAGGACAGATGAGGGAGAAAGAAAAAAAAAAAAGGCCCAATAGTGTTTGTTTCCTCAGTGGCCTTGGGAGGCGTCTGAAATGTCCAGGGACCAGTGCTTAGAACGGTGTCCTCCGTAGTGGCCTGCACAGTCTGTTGTTCTGGCAGGAGACTGGGCAAACCTTGTCTGTTGGGTTCGAACAATTGAGTGAGCTCTGTGTAAATGGTCAATTGCCTCATGGTGTTAGCAGGCCACTTCGGGTCTCTGAAGGTTCCTCTAAGGCAGTGGTTCTCAACCTTCCTAATGCTGCGGCCTTTTTTTTTTTCTTTTCTTTTCTTTTTTTGGTTTTTCGAGACAGGGTTTCTCTGTGTAGTTTTTGGTGCCTGTCCTGGATCTTGCTCTGTAGACCAGGCTGGCCTCGAACTCACAGATCCGCCTGTCTCTGCCTCCCGAGTGCTGGGATTAAAGGAGCATGCTACCACCGACCTGTTGCGACCCTTTAATACAGTTCCTCATGTTGTGGTGACCCCCAACCATAAAATTATTTCGTTGCTACTTCCTAACTGTAATTTTGCTACTGTTAGGAAACATAAATATCTGATATGTAGTCTCTGTGAAAGGGTCATTTGACCCCAAAGGGGTTGAGCCCCACAGGTTGAGAACCACCGCTCTTAGGGGAAGGCGGTCCATACCTGCAGATTTGCTGCTTCCATTAGATACAAATGGAACACTGTAACCTTGGCCACAGGAGCCAAGGGAAGAACCCCAAACAGATGTACAATGTAACTGCTAGTGTGTTCTTCAGAAAAATGCATAGCTGATTTCTTCACCTCACTTCAGGAGGAGGGTGGAAATACCTACAGACTGGGTAGAATTTGGCTCAGTTTTATGAGGATAATGCTTGAAGAGGTCTGTGTGTCTCATCTTGATGGCTTAGTGTGTAACTGGCATGAGTGACTCTGATGTCATTTTAAGATTTTTTTTGGAGCCCGCTGCTCACGTGCTCATTATTGTAGCCTGGGCTGGCCCTGAACTCGGCTTTATTGTATTATTAGTTTAGTTTTTGTTTTTAAATTCTGTGTGTCTGTGTACTTGTGAGCATGTGTGTGCATAGGGGTCATAGGTCCGTCTCTGGTGCTGTTCCTCAGAATCTGCCCACTTTTTTTGAGACAGGGTCTCTCGTTGAGACCTGGGACTGCCAGTTAAACAAGCCCCAAAGATCCTGCATTTGCCACACCTGGCTTCCTCATAAGGGTGCTTGTAAGGCAGGCGCTTTACCCAGTATGCTTTCCTCCCACCCCTGGCCTGGAACTCTTGCTCTGTCTCAGCTGGGGTCACAGATGCATGTCACCAAGTCCCTCTCCAAATGTGTTCTTCTGGCCAGGCGATGGATTTCCGAGAGCCTCCTCCTACCCTCCCGGAGTGCGGAGTGCTCAAGTTCCGACTCCCTAAGGGAGCCCTGTGCGCGGTTTCCCACCTGGGAGTCAGTGCTTCTCCAGGCTGGACTGCGGAGCAAGGGATGAGATGATAGTAGCTTTCTGTCTCTTACCGAGAGAGAGATCATCATCCACAGGACATCTGTGACATTGCCGTTGTGAGGACAGAGCTGGTGCCTGGCTGACAACGGCATCGGTGTGGTCACAGTGTCACAAACCTGGAGCTTTGCCATAGGGCAGGGCTGGATTGAGATCCCAGTTTGCCCCAGCTTAATTATCTTGTCTTAGACAAGCTGCTGAAGTGCTCTGTCTCTTGGTGTCCTCACCTGTGGCCTGGCATGGGTGTGATGCGTGATTGTGAGGGAAAGGTGTATGTGTGTAATGCTCACAGCCCGGTGCTCCAGAAGTGTAGCCATTGACCTTAGCGGATAACGCTGTCCTGAGGGCCTGGGTGTGGCTCCGGTAGAGGGCTGCTTAGCCCTAGTGGGGCTCTGGGTAGAGCTGCACAAAAACAAAGAAACCTAAGCTGAGAGCATTGCACCCACTAGAGCTCTGAATTGGGCCTTCTTGTCTCCAGGACCAATTACAGATGTGGATTCGAGGCAACGTGAGCGCCTGTGCTCGGTCCGTCTTCATCTTTGACGAGATGGACAAGATGCACGCAGGCCTCATCGATGCCATCAAGCCTTTCCTAGACTATTACGATGTGGTAGATGAGGTCTCCTATCAGAAGGCCATCTTCATCTTCCTCAGGTGAGGCTGTGGCTGGGATGTGGTGGGAGACCCTTGCTCCTGGACCTGGGGGCTTTGGGGGGAAGTGCAGCCCCTCCTCACTGCAATTATTTCTGCAGCAATGCGGGGGCAGAAAGGATCACAGACGTGGCTTTGGATTTCTGGAAAAGTGGGAAGCAGAGGGAAGAAATCAAGCTCAGAGACATGGAGCATGCCCTGGCCGTGTCGGTCTTCAATAACAAGAACAGTAAGTATGGCCGTCCTTCATGAAACCAACCTCCTAGCCCCGCACCGTCAGTTCTGTCAGCCTAGGAACCATACTTCATGCAGTCTTGGTGCTTCCCTGACCCAGCCGAATCCCTGCGTGAAATCTGCTAACGAGCCACAGGCTATTTTATAAACGCTGAAGTTGGGCTGCACCACTGGTCATTCCTTGTAGAGGAAAAGCAGGTAGTTGAACCAGGAGAAGGCCACTTGTGACTGCAGGGAGGTTGGTGACTGGGTAAGTGCCCTAGGACTCTGCAGCCATGCCTGGGCCTTCCCACTCTACTGGACATGCAGACATTTGACCTGCTTGTTTGATTCAGCCGACCCTGTTCCCGTGTAGAGAAGACAGATGCCTGTTGTCCCGTTCTTTACAGAGGACACCCAGGCTCAGTGCAGGAGCTTGCGCAGCACCACACAGCCTGGGTGGCACCTCCATCCTGCACTCAGAGCTTTTACCTCTCAGCTAAGCTGCTTTTCCAGCCACTGTCCTGCAACCTTTGACCTTGAACCCCAGGAGGCAGCCGGCCATGAGGGTGACTCACTGGTCATCTCACCAGGTCTTCGGTTGTCGAGGTGACAAACAGAAGGCCGTAGGTCTCATTGGAAACACGCTCACCGAGAGATCTCTACTGAAGTGAGGTGACCAGCACAGTGTGGTGTTACCCTGTGCCAAGGGGATACTACCGAGGAAAGACGAACGTGGTTAAATGTTAAAGTCTCTCTTTGTGCTAAAAGGATGACAACACACAACAGGAAGTACAGATTGATTGGCAGCAGTACATCAGAACACTGTGTGCTGAAGGTAGTGAAGACCTCCTGCAGGGCTGTAGATGGAGAAGAGACAGTGAAGACATCTGGCTTGGGTGGCGGAATGCCAGCAGTGCTGGGGTGGACAGTGAAGAGCCTCCGAGGAGGAGGAGGAGACATGTGCCTGAGTCATCCTGCTAGGGGGAGGAGCTGGAAGGAGACATTTGACTCAGGACCCACATCTGAGATGGCAGTAGATGAGTGGTGTTACTTTCATGTTCAGACGCAAACCCAGGGCCTTACACATGCCAGCTTTGTGCCTCCCACTGAGCTAACCCCAGCCCCGCTGGTGTTTAAGGCCATGTCACCATCTCGTCTACTGGTTCTGCTGAGCACTTGCTGGGTCAAGTGGTTGGGTCCTCCTCATTCAGGCTGTGTTGGGGGGATTCCTCCCCAGCCAGGCCAGATGCCCCCAGCCATGATCCCCAGGGCTCCATGTACACCTGGCACAGAGTAGGTCTTCAAGACAGCAGTCCCTGGTGGCTGTTCATAGTTTTGGTCTTGGCTCTGGCCACAGGCCCTCACTGAGTACGTCAGAGTGCAGGGCTCCACTGGGAACTGGGCTCTTGGCACAGCTTGCACGGGAAGCCAGAACGCAAAGATGAATGAGTCAGGCAGGACATGAAGACATGTCAGGAGCTCCCAGGCATCCAGCAGGAGCTGCGTCAAGTGTTCTCAGTACTGGGAGGCTGAGCCATGCAGAGCTCAGCTTCTGCAGCGAAGCACTTGTCGGAGTCAGACCCTTGAGGTGCACAGCCTTGTCTGCACATGACCACCCGGAGGAGTCTAGGTTTGAGCACTGGCAGCAGCAGTGGGTTCTCCAGATGGTGGTTTCCTGGAAACTGACTGGTGGAGTCTGTCTCTGGGGGTACCCCTCCCTTCTCTCCTTTTTGCACCTCTTCCAACCTGTCCCTCAGCTTTTGGCCACCCTGCCTGGATCCCACATGGCACACAGTATGGTGCATGTGGCCCTCTAGCCCGTCTCCCACCTCTAAGGTACCCTGGAGAAGCCTTTCCAAGCCCACAGCACTAAAGTGTCCCTTTTCAAACTTTTTTGTTTTCATTTTTGAGTATGTGTGTATGTGCATCCGGTTGTCCAGAGAGGGTGTTGCATCCACTGGACCCAGAGTTACATGTGGTTGTGATTATCGGGACCTCTGCAAGGAGCAACAAGCCTTTTTAACTGCTGAGCCATCTCTCCAGCCCAAAGGTGTCCCTTTATGTCACCCTGCCCTTGCTGTCAGAGCAGCATCACAAGGCAGTGTTTGTAGGCTGTCCCCAGCTCCTGTCTCTCCCTCACTGTATGGAGACGGGGTGGTATTGGGGATGGTCTCCAGTGGACACTTAGTTCTGCTTGGACAGATGAAGAGTGAGTGGCACATTTTTGTCTTTTTCCCAGGTGGCTTCTGGCACAGCAGCCTCATTGACCGGAACCTCATTGACTACTTTGTCCCTTTCCTGCCCCTGGAATATAAGCACCTGAAAATGTGCATCAGAGTTGAGATGCGGTCCCGTGGCTATGAAGTAGATGAGGACATTGTAAGCAAGGTGGCTGAAGAGATGACCTTCTTTCCCAAGGAGGAGAGAGTCTTCTCGGACAAGGGCTGCAAGACTGTGTTCACCAAGCTGGACTACTACCTGGATGACTGAGTCTGCTGCAGACAGCCAGGCCACTCCTCTCCCAGGAGGCGGGCGGCTCAGGACACTTTCTGCCGAGGTTACCAGGTACTGCCTTGGGGACTGTTTCTGCTCCTCAGAGCCTGCAGGTGGCCATGCTGTAGGGACCAGACACAACATGGACCCAAAGCTTCCTGGAGCCTCCAGGGGATGAAACCTCCCAGCCTGCCCCTTCCCGGGCTCATGATTTTTTTTTAAATTATGTTTTAATTTCAGGTGTTTCTGTTTTGAGGCAGAACAAGTAAGTTTTACTGCAAATGTGATAACTTTATTTTAAATGGTTTTTAATATATGAGAAGCCTTTCAGCTGTTGGCTTTGTGTGTCTTTTCAAACTCTCAGGCTGACATCACCAGGGTTTCTACTGCAAAAGCCCAAGCACGGGCATCTGCTGGATGACATCTCAGGAACAAGGGACTGACCCTAGGGGACTGAAGCCAGCCCTGCCAGGGGCCATGCAGTGGTTGGCTAAGACTGGAACACTGTCACAAATGCACCCGTGTGCTCTTCCCTGGACTCAGTAGCATGGGAACAAGTTTAGTGGCACTGTGATTGTCAGGTCCACTCCAGATGTCCGGCAGGCAGAGCTCCAGATGGGCTTGTTTTATGCACACACAATGCCTGCCAATGGGGAGGGCTCCTGTAGGTGTGGCTGCCGTTTAGGGCACTCACAGGGCTGGGCTTAGCAAGGAGAAAAGGGCCCGAAGGTTCAACAAGTCAAATACTAGGTCAGTGGCTGGCAGAACCACCCCTCTACCAGCCTGTGCGGGGCTCCCAATGATGGTCCCGAGTCCCCAGGATCATGTCAGGTCTGACCACTCACCTAAGGCTGGAGCCCAAGCACTGAGCCCCAACTGAGGAGCCGAGTCCTCTGTTCTGCCAAGTCCTGTGTTTGTAGATATGACAGAGTGGGTGCTGTGTTAGGCTCCTGGATGTTCCACTAAGAAAGGGAGCAGCAGGGTGACAGTGAAGAGGACTTCCTTTCTAGACTTGTGACGGAGCCATATTATCAGTGCTGCCTGAGAAGCCAGCTTAGTCATGCTGAGATCTGGCCCATGAACAGACTAGAATCAGGTTCTTTACCAGTCCTGGGCCGGAAGAGCCAGCTAGGATGAAGACAGCCATGGCCAGGTGGATAGGTCACCATTGGGGAGGTTATGTGGTAGAAAAGCCCGTCTCTGGCGGCCCCCGGAGCCCGCTGCCTCTGAACTCCAGAGTCTGTCTCAGGAAGAGAAAACTGAGAAGCGTGCCCGACTTTGGCCTCTGTGCGTGCGTGCATGTGATTGCCTACCCCTCACATGTGCAAACATACCACACAGAAAAGCCAAGAGCAAACACTGATTTTGTGATTCGGCCAACCTGCGCATCCAGGTGTGGAAAGGTAAGGAACACATGGGCAGCTCCAGAGCCTTCATTCTGAGCTCTGTGCTACCACACCAATGAAGAAAACTTAGTGGAAGTGACATGTCACAGTGCACCACACTGGCTTTATTAGTCTGCCTTCATGCCTTCCTACAGGCAGGTCGGGGAGGCTGGGGCAGCCAGCCCAGGCCTTTCTAAGTTACAGATCAGTAAGAGCAGTCCAAAGGTGGCCAACACGTGTCCACATATTGCATCATTGTAAACAGAAAAGCTTGTTTCTTCTTGATTAGGCACCCGACAGGTTCTAAATGGTAACTTGGCTCCAACCCAAGAATATGGCATGAAACTCCGCCTCAGCTTGGCAGGCTTCTGTTTGCTTTCTACTTTGAGACAGGGTCTCTGTATGTAGCTCGGCTGACTTTAAACTCATCTTCCTAAGTGCTAAGATTACAGGTGTGTACACCACTGGCCTGCTGTTCACTTGTGTAGCCTAGGCTGGCCTCAAAGTTGACAGTCCAGCCTGGCCTCCTAGGTACTGGGACTGAAGGTGTGCACCACCACACCCAGCTCACCTTGGCATTTTTTTTTTTAAAGATTTATTTATTTATTATGTATACAGCATGTATGACTGCAGGCCAGAAGAGGGCACCAGATCTCATTACAGATGGTTGCGAGCCACCATGTGGTTGCTGGGAACTCAGGACCTCTGGAAGGGCAGTCAGTGCTCTTAACCTCTGAGCCATCTCTCCAGCCCCCTCACCTTGGCATTTTTAAAAGACTAAATGTGAGTCTCTAGAAGGCATTTCCATGTTATAAAAATAGCCATTCTTCCACATTCCATAAAAATACAGCACAGTGTTCATATCTGCAGCTGCATTGCAGCTGAGGGACAGAGAGGTTCACGAGGTCAGAATCGCAGGCTTACTTCCTACAGTCAGAGCAGCCCGGCCCAGGACCGCCACTCACGGCATCACCCTGAGATTATACCCAGGATCCACTATAAACTGAGGACTGGGGGGTCTAAAACTGTGCCCATATAGTTCCACTCTCTACACATAGACATTGACAATAAAACCTTTTTTTTTTCCTTTTAAAAGTTTCATGTAGCTCAGGCTAGCCTCAAACTCACAACCGGCAGAGGAACCCTGATCTTCCTGCTAGGATCATGCACATTGTGCCCCCACACCCAGCAACAATACTACCCGAGACTAGGAATACTTATTCTATGTCCTTCCTAGGTTTTTGATGTTTTTTGAAACAGCATTTCTCTGTGTAGCCTTGGCTGTCCTGGATCTCACTTTGTAGACCAGGCTGGCCTTGAACTCAGAGATCCATCTCGTCTGCCTGGCCTCCCAAGTGCTGGATTAAAGGCGTGTGCCACCACCACTGGGTGCTTCCTAGGTTTTAAAATACATGGCATCTTATACTTTATTACCTAAGGTTTAGAAATAAAAGACATGTTTTTTTTTTAAAAAAAGGCATCTCTGGTGTGTGGCAGGTCCACTCCTTCAGACAGAGTCAGCAACCCGAGGGTCTGGCCTAGAGCTTGCTCTTCCTATGCATGTGACTGGTGCCGTAGGGCTGACTTGACCTTCAGAGCAAGTGTAACAGACCAACTCCAAAGACCTCCAACATTGACAACCCATTCTGACATGACCAGGGATGAGGCTGGGGTGAACCTAACAGTCGAGGAGACAAAGTCCGAGGCAGGCTGCAGCCCCTACACAGTGGGACACAGTCCACAGCCAGGGCTGTGAGCAGCAGCTAAGGTCCAGCCTCCAAGGCTCTGTGTGCCAGTGTGTGACAGGCCTCAGAGGGAGTCCTCACTGCTCACGATGACAGTTGAGCCAAGGTCAAGCCCACATGCTCCCTCAGACTGACCAGCTTTCAACTGACAGTGCCAGCCTCAGGGCAAAACCAAAAAAACCTCCCGTGCTTCCCCAAGGCTGCAGCAGGGTGCTGTAGCCTATTGGTGGCATCTGAGGCATGGGTGCCATTGGCCTCCTGTGTTCAGGTGTTTCGAGGCACTTGATTCACAGTAACAGTGTAAGGGTTCTAAACATTCGGCTGCTGCCATGCAGCATCGGCAGCATCCCCAGAGTCCACAGGTGCAAATGTGCAAAGCCCCAAGGGGTCTTCAAAGTACTTGGGCAAGGCAAGGCCGTGGAGGTGGTGGGAGGCTCCCCTGCATCTCCCACCCCATGGGATGAAGAGCTCAGTGGAAATCCAGCCGTGACTGCACAGTCTTGCAGCCCTTGTCCGAGTAGATCTTCTCGTCCTTGGGGAAAAAGGTCATTTCATCGGCCACCCTAGTGACGATGTCTTCATCGACGGCAGCCCCTCGCGCCCGCATCTCTGCCCGCACACACATCTTCACGTGTCTGTACTCCAAGGGCAGGAAGGGGATAAAGTAGTCGATGAGGTTTTTGTCTATCAGCCCACTGTGCCACAGACCACCTGCAGAACAAGACAGGGGCCTGTCACTGCCACCTGGCCACACCGTATCTGATCCCAGTCCATCCTTCACGTCTTTACCCTTCCAGAGACCGTCAAGTGACATACGCCCTCTAACACTCCGAGGAAACTCCCTATGGCAGCAAAGCCACAGGCAGGAGTGACGCCGGCTTCCTGAGCGCCGCTGAGACGCGGCAGCTCGATGCCGGCAGAGCCCGGGTGCCCCAGCTCCGTAATGGACTCACTGTGTTTGTTGTTGAAGACGCCCACAGACAGCACGGGCTCCAGGTCCTTCAGCTGGATCTCTTCCCTCTTCCTTCCTGCCCGCCAGAAGTCCAGGGTCGTCTTAGTTATCAGGTCTCCGCCTGCATTACTGAGTTGGCCAGAGATGCAAGACTTCAGTTATCCCCATCTCTTTGCCAAGTACATTCACCCAAGGCTTGGTTCCTTTTCAAATGCTAGAACTGACCCCGGGGTCGCGGGCATGCTGAGTAGGTGTCACCACAGCATCATACCACACCCCACTTCCGGGTGTGCGCCACTTCTAATGCTCCAAAGCCTTTTTGGTTTTTTGAGAAAGGATTTTTCTATGTAGCCCTGGCTGCTCTGGAACTCACTCTGTAGACCAGGTTGGCCTTGAACTTAACAGAGATCCGCCTGCCTCTGCCTCCTGAGTACTGGGATTAAAGGTGTGCGCCACCGCCACCACCACTACCACCACCACTACCACCACCACCACCACCGGGCTAGCACTCCAAAGCTTTAATCCAGGACGTTTGGAACATGTTACCAGACAAGGACAAAAAGAAGCGTGTCTGCCTGCAAGGAATGTAAATGTTGTGTTTAGATTTTAAACACGGGCTGGCAGGAGCACCAAGTGCCTCACTGAGGGATCACTGTCTCATCCTCAAGCCAGTTTCTATGCCAGACTGACTGGGAAGTGAAAATGGCACATGAGCCATGGCTTTGCCAAGCCGGCAGCTCTGTCCTGGATGGCCAGGGGAACCTCGTTCTAGCACTTGTAGTCCCTGAGAAGCCTCCTTGGCTGACCTGAGGAAGATGAAGATGGCTTTGCGGTAGGAAATCCCATCCACCTGCTCATAGTAGTCTAGGAAGGGCTTGATTGCATCAATGATCCCGGGATGCAACTTATCCATCTCGTCAAAGATGAAGACGGAGCTGCCACACGCGCTCACATTGCCTCGGATCCACTTCTGGAGCTGGTCCTAGACCAACCGTAAAGAGAGGCACAGCTCAGAGGATGTTCCAGAGGATGAGGGGGGAGAGCCCCCTGGGCTGGGCTTTGAGGAGCCATCACCTGCATACTTGCCCCACACAACAGAGGTAGACACTTTCCAGAGGTCACCACAAGCAGAAAGGCACTAGCCATCTAAACCTGGCCACCTGAGCTCAATCCCTGGTACCCACATGGTGGGAGGAGAGAACCGACTTCCGAAAGCCGTGTGCTGACCTCCATATACATTCCCACACTGTGCCAATGCATGCGTCTGTAACAACCCTCCGCCACAAAATGGGAAGTAGACAACCAGGCAGAAGCTGGTTGGTCAGCTCACCCACAGCAGCCTCAGAGAAGGAAGGAAGCCTGGAGGTGCTTCTGCCAGGCTATTCATCACAGCAACAGGAAAGACACCAAGACACCAGGCACACAGAAATGACAACCAGATTCAGACCTTCACCATGCAGGGGACCGAGGCTTTGGATTGATGTGGTGAGTACAGGTGCTGACCTGGCTGGTGGGAAAAGCACTGAGCTACATCCCTAGCCCTCTTGCTTTCTTGAAACACCCAAGCAACAGCCTCTCATTCCCTAAATAGGGGAGGCCACAACCATGAACTACCCCTTGCAAATACTGTATTTTGAGAGAGCTATAATCCAATTTAGAAAACATGAACATTACTTTGTGGTAGGCACTGTAGCCTGGTAGAGATAGCATTTCCTCAGCCTGAGCAAAACACGATGGTTTCTATCCCCAGCACCTTAAAATAAAACCATCTCTTCCCTTTGGCACTCCGCCCTGCCTCATGTGAAGACAACAAATATTCACTTTCATTTCCTTCCTCGCTTGGGTTTCAGTTTGCTGTCCCAGTCCTTGAAGGACTAGCACCCTAAGTAAGACAATCATTTAAGTCGGAATCAGCCAAGGAAATGTGCAGAGATCTCACAAGCACAAAGTCTGGAGGTTTGGTTCTTTGAGACATGAGGGGTGGGAGGAGGCAATGGGAATCAAAACTGGTAAGAGGAAATCTTCTCTGCACCCTGCAAAACACGGGGCAAAGTCCAGGCTGCAGCACGATGGAGAGCTTTAGATGAGGCCATGCCCAAGTCAACTAAGACTGCCCCACCTAACACCCTAGGCCCTGCTGGGCAGGCTAGTCACTTTATGGGTGCCTGGGACATACTCTAGAGACAGATGGGAGGTGACGAGTACAGGCTGTAAGAATAAGTCACCTTGCCTCTCTTGCCCATCTTTTCTCATTCTTGCCCCCTTCTCCCTTCCCAAATTCCAGGGATTGAACCTATGGTCTCACACACACTAGTTGGCTCCATCATTTTTTTTTTCCTTTTTTTTTTTTCAAGACAGGATTTCTCTATGTTTAACCCTGGCTGTCCTGGAACTCACTCTGTACACCAGGCCTCAAACTCAGAAATCCACCTGCCTCTGCCTTCCGAGTTCTGGGATTAAAGGCGTGCACCACCACGTGGGCCCAGCTGCTGGCTCCTTCTTTCAACGTTCATAGCATCCCTACCTCACTGGATTGTGGGGGTCTGTTGGAGTCCAGCTCTGACCTGTCGAGGAGTTCTTGGGGGGAGGAGAGGAACGAGGAAATGATAGAAAGATAGGAGACACAGAGACACAGGATAGCTTCGGGAGAGCCCTGGGTCAATACCCAGCTGCCCAGTCGTTTACTCAAAAGGGCTTTTTTGTACAACACCAAGGGGAGAGGCAAAAGACTTCCCCTTGCTAGATCAAAGCACACCGTACAGTCAAGTGTAGACCCTTCCAAACACCGGGTAAACACACCTGTGGCCAAGTCATCCATTTATGCAGCCCTGCTGGGTAAAGCAAGCTCAGAGTCTCTGACCCAGAGTAAAGCCTTAATAGGGAGCCTCTGTGGGCCCCCCACACTGGATTATTTTGGAAGAGCAATTTTAAAAAAAGAGAGAAGGCTGGATATGGTGAGGCACACCTATAATCCCAACACTTAGAAGGTGAAGGTAGGAGAATCAGAAGTTCAAAACCAGCCTCAGCTATATAGTGAATTTGATGCCAACCTGGGCTACATGAGACTATCTAAGACTTCCCCACACACACAAACACATGTACCATAAGATGGGCAAAGTGGTGGATGCCTGTTAATCTCAGTCCTCAGAAAGCTGGGGCAGTAGGGTCCCTAACATCAAGGCCAGCCTGAACTACATAATGAGACCTTAACTCAAAAAGTATAAATAACTACAGGCTAGGCATGGAGGCTCACACCTTTAATCCTAGCACCAGGGAGGAAGGGAGGGGCAGGTGGATCTCTGAGTTCTGAGGCCTACAGAGTGAAACTGTAAACAAATAACAGAAAGGAAGAAGCTAGGGGAGAGGCCAGTCGGAACCATTGCAAGGCAGAGTGAAGCAGAGGCCAGAGCTGCTGAGCGGGTAGCAATAGGTTTTCTTGCCTGGTACAGTTTTGTCTTCTGCTCATGAGGGAAGTGCAGAGTAGAGACGAAGAGGTGGACAAAGTTACTCTTCAGGCCTTTGGGGTAAAGGTTCTCAGCCACAATCTGGCTGACAAAATTCTTGCCCGTGCCAGCCCAGCCGTGTAAGGACAGAGTCAGTGGTTTCTTGGGATTTTTATTGTTCCTGAAGCCGGTCAGTGCCTTGAGAATCACTTCGGTGGCAAGGTGCTGTCCAAACAGCTTCTCCTCCAAGTCCAGCTTGAGGGCTGCGGAGGCCAGCCCGGAACAGAAAGAAAAATAACGTTAAAAAAAGCACGTGAAACTGGCCAGAGAGAGGCACAGCTTAGCGACTGATCCAGCAGCAGGGTCTCTGCCAGGCTTCAGAACCCCAACCGTAAGGATCTAGAGTCAGACCCTTAAGTGGCAGTGTCTAAGGAAGCTACTCGGATTCTTTCACCCAGGGAAAAGCCACCTCACGGCTGAGCTCCAAGCTAGCTTTCCCGCCACCCCTGCTGGCTCGGAAAAAAATGCAAGAGCCAAAGGCGGGCTTTCTGGATGGGGGGGGCGCACAGCCGGCCCCGCTGCGTTCAGTTCTCCGGGCGGTCATCGCAAGGCCTGCGAAGGTGTGGCGAGATCGGGCCGAGTGGGTCTCCCACCCGCCCCGCCCGCGACCCGCAGCCACGTACCCGAGGCGTTGAGGGGCCGGTCCTCACGGCAGCACTCGGTGAAGCGGCAGTACAAGTCGGAGTAGGACAGGTAGCCGGTGAGCGACACGGCCCCGATGGCGATGCCCACGCTCACGGGCTCGAACGCCATCGCGACGTGGGCGGCCAGCAGAGCCCACAGCACCGCCGAGCCCCCGAACGCCCCGGCCCTCCCCATCGCGCGCCACCGAGAGCAGTGCGCCGCGCTCGGATTCAGTCCCCGGTGTGCAGCAGACCTACTTCCGGTACGGTGCGTCACTTCCGCCCCCCTACTGGAAAGGGGCGGGAGGCTTAAGGCGCCATCCTTGTGAGTGGCAGGAAACCCTCTAGGGACCTTCGAAGGCATTTCATGCCTGTCTTTTTTGTTTGTTTTTTGTTTTTTTCGAGACAGGGTTTCTCTGTGTAGTTTTGGATCTCGCTCTGTAGACCAACTGGCCTTGAACTCAGACATCCGCCTGCCTCTGCCTCTACTGGGATTAAAGGCGAGAGTCACCCAGCTTCACACTTGTCTTTAAGAGGTCTTATTTGTTTGCTTTCTATTTTTCTTTTTCTAAATTAAAATATGCATATGTATATGTATATGTGTGTGTGTGTGTATATATATATATATATATACAGTTCCAGGGGTTCTGACACCCTCTTCTGGCCTCTGTGAGCATTGCACACACGACACACAATCGTACATGCAGGCAAAACACTCATATACATAAAATAATTGCCGGGCGGTGGTGGCGCACGCCTTTAATCCCAGCACTCAGGAGGCAGAGGCAGGCGGATCTCTGTGAGTTCGAGGCCAGCCTGGTCTACAGCGCGAGATCCAGGAAAGGCGCAAAGCTACACAGAGAAACCCTGTCTCGAAAAACCAAAAAATAATAATAATAATAATAATAATAATAATAATAATAATAATAATAATTGAAAAACCATACATACATAAAAAAATAAAAATCGAAAAAAATAAATGGGTTTGGAGAGACGGCTCAGTGGCTAAGAGTACTTATGCTCTTGCAGGGAAGCAAGTTTGTGTTCCCAGCACCCTACCACCCCCGCATCTGTCGACTTATAACTGCCTGTTTCTCCAGGCATCCTCTTCTGTCCTTCGTGGGCACCTCCATGTATAGGGTGCATATATATAAACTCAGACACAAACATACACATAAACTAATACATAAATGAATAAATAAAACCAAACAATAATAATAATAGTACATGAGTGTGTGTGTGTGTGTGTGTGTGTGTGTGTGTGTGTGTGTGTGTGTGTGTGTGTGTTGTATGAGGCCAGAGGAGAATGTCAGATTTCTTGCTTTACCTCATCTTCCTTTGTGATAGGAAGCTCAGTGAACCTTGAACCTGGAGTTAGGGCTGTGGTCAGGACTCCCCAGCCACCTTTCTGTCTGGTGGGGGTGGGTGTTACAGACCAGCATTGGCCATCCCACCTAGCATTTATCATAGGTGCTGGGTGTAGTCAGATTTTTTTGTCAGGACCCATGGTCCCTAATAATGACACAGTGACTTATTGTTAATTGTGAAAGCTCAGCTAATAGCTTAGGCTTGTTTCTAACTTATCTCTTACAACTTAAATTCACCCATATTTTTAATCTACGTTTTTTTTTTTTTTTTTTACGTGGCTCAGTTACCTTTACTCTGTATTGCCCGTGCAGCTTCCTCCTCGTCTCTTGGCCATCTCCCTTCTTCCCAGGATCCCCTCTTCCCAGAAATCCTGCCTAGCTCCTGGCCGGTCGGGTTTTTATTAGAACAATCAGAGCGACACAACTTCACAGTGTACAAAAAAACTTCCACAACAGCTGGGGTCTCCAACTCAGGTCGCCATGCCTGCACACCTGGGGTTCTTACCCAACAGAGCCATCTCTACAGACCTACCTTTTCTTTCTTTTCTTTCTCTTCGTCAGCAACCACTCTGCTACTAAACTACACCCAAAATTCACAGGGCCTTTGTTTGTTTGTTTGAGACAGGGTTTCACTGTGTAGCCTTGGCTGTCTTGGAACTCACTCTGTAGACTATACTGGCCTCAAGCTCAGAGATCTGCCTGCCTCTGCCTCCCAAGTGCTGAGATTAAAGGCATGCGCCACCAATGACCAGCTCATAGGACCTTTTTAAAGAGCCCCTCAGAATCCCAAATTTGGGATTTGTCATCCTGTCTCATTTCCCCTGGACTGTGATGAGCACTGCTCAGATCTGCCCACCCCTGGCCTTCCTGAACAGCTGCAGAGCACTCTTGGTGCTAGGCCCAGGGCTAAGTAAGCATCAGGGGCATAGAACACTTAGAGACACATGCTGGGTTTGACAAGGAAATCCAGACATCCATTCATGTTGCATGTCACCTGGCAGGCCCCAGGCTGCCTTCTGGGAAGACAGGAGTGCAGGAGACCAAATTGGCCCTGCTTTTCAGGACTTACAGGCTATGGGGGAGACAGGAAGAGGACAAGGAACGATACTGAGCCATCAAAGTTCAGGGACCCTGCAGTAGGGAAAGCCTTTGCCTAAGCTGGAGATTAAAGGTATTATCCAAGCCGGGCGGTGGTGGCGCACGCCTTTAATCCCAGCACTCTCTGGGAGGCAGAGCCAGGCGGATCTCTGTGAGTTCGAGGCCAACCTGGGCTACCAAGTGAGTTCCAGGAAAGGCGCAAAGCTACACAGAGAAACCCTGTCTCGAAAAACCAAAAAAAAAAAAAAAAGGTATTATCCAAACAAAAACTCAAGGAGTTGGCCGACCAAAAAACAAGCAGTGGCATGGTCTATTTAGAGAGTAGAGTTTGTAGACGGCCAGTTTGAAGGGCTGAGACTGTTGTTCATTGGGAGGGTGTTAGGAGGTGAGGATGGAGGGCAGTGCAGAGACTGGAAGGTAAAGGGTTTACAGACACTGAAAGAAGTTAGCTTGTGTTCTGGAGGAGAGTTGGGAGCCAACTCAGAGATCATTCACCAGGGAGAGAAACTATCACAGCAGTCCACATATACTTACCCCAGGCTTTGCCAAACTTGACTGAGTTCTTTGGACAGTCAATCTGCAACAAATATCTCATGAACTCTGACTGTGTGTCAGATCCAGCACCATATACAGTATCAAGCTTACATCAGAAGACAGGACAGGTGTGTTTCCTGACCTCACTACAGAGCCCCTGATCATGACTGTTCTTATTTCTGGGGATTCCCAGAAAAAGCTAAGGCTCCCAGGTCTCCTGAAGGCTGGTCTCAGTGACCTGTCCCAGTGGACTAATTAAAGAGATGATTAATAGCGAAAAGCAGATAAAGAGCTTTCATCAACATGAGGAAGAGGAGATAAGGGGGGCCAGTGACCGACCTCAAGTCCATCTTCTGGACACTGACATGAGCTTTAGGTTTAGATAGAGGAGGAACTGGGACAAGGGACAAGAGGCACTCATAAGTAAGCACTTCTGGTCAAAGGGTGGTCTGGTTGATCATTGTCTCAGTCTAGTTCTGGATGATGGCTCATAGGAGTCCATACTCTTTAAAGAGACAAGTCAGTTTCCAGGAGCTTGCTCCAGTCATCCCTTCAGAGACAACCACCCTCACAGGATGGTGTGTTGGCTCACCCATGCTTGCTGTTGGTGTAGTTTCCTTGTCATATGGATGTTGATTGATCAGTCCTGTTCTTGGAATCCAAGCTGATTGGGTCAGGACAGTGGCTGGAACCCACTTTGGCAGTCTGAAGTACAATACTGTAAAAGCTGACAGTTAAGTCATGTGTGGTGGTGCACGCCTTCAGTCTTAGCACTCAGGAGGCAGAGGCAGGAGGATCACTGAGTTCGAGGCCAGCCTGGTCTATACAGTGAGTTCCAGGACAGTCAGGGCTACACAGAGAAGTCCTGGCTAAAAAAACAAAACAAAAGACAACAACAAAAAACCCAAAAAACAAACAACAAAAAGCTGACAGTAGCTACCTGTAATCTCAACAACTGGGAGGCAGAGGCGAAAAGATTAGGAGTGAAAGGCCGTCCTTGGCACACAGTGAATTTGAGGCTAGTCTGGGTTACATAAGACCCTGTCTCAACACACACACACACACACACACACACACACACACACACACACACACACACACACAGGAAGGAAAAAAGGAAGGAAGGAAGGAAGGGAGAGAGACAAGAAAAGAAGAGACGCTGGGCGGTGGTGACTCATTCCTTTAGCCCCAGCACTTGGGAGGCAGAGGCAGGCAGATATCTGTGAGTTCAAGGCCAGCCAGGTGTACAGAGCAAGTTCCATGACAGCCAGGGCTGTTATAGAGAGAAAACCTGTCTTGAAATACCAATAAATAAATAATTTTTTTTAAAAAGACACGCAATGAGACCCAATTGCAGGGCTTCACAATGCTTTAGTCACCTCGAGGGACTGCCTCCAAGCAAGGAGACAGTGCCTGTCAAATTCTGATCACTTCGGACCTATATTGAGCTAGCAGGGGTCAAGTCCATAGAAGGAAGGGACCGGTTCTGTAGCTGAAATAATTCCTTCAGGGAGCAGCTGGTGGCATGAGCTAAAAACACAAGCAGTGGCAGGCAGAGAAAGGGACTTGAGAATCGACCTGGAGCCAGGGTGTGATGCCTGGGGACAGGAACACCATGGAGACAGATAGAGAACAGATGATTGGGGAGGACAGCATGGCCTTCAATTGTTCAGATCCTATGGTCTTGTCTGTTTGGTGGTTCTGAATAGCTAGGGTAGCCAAGACCTGAGAGCCATAGATTCAGCATCAGTTGAGGATTCTTGCTGCTCAGTGCTTCCAAGATGGTGCTGTTGTGGGATATTTGGACACTATTGTATTAGGACAGGCCCATAGGGTCAAAGAAATTGGCTCAAACCAGTTGCCAAGGTATGTACATAATGTACTTCCTTATGAACCAACCTGGAGTCTGCCTGAGAGCCTAGCAGCAGACGCTGTCAGAGTTTCTGAGTGTGCCCAGCCAATGGGGGATGACCACAAAATGCCACCAGTTTGGGACACAGCTTAGGTGCTGGGAGGAGGGTATATAAGGCCTTCCATGTTATTAAATGAGTCTGCTGTTTGCCTCCACCTGACTCCCGATGTCTGTTTCACTAATGCCATGCCTTCTCTCCCCCTTCCCCAAGGGAGCCCTTAGGATCCAAGCAATATCTGATACCTGAACATGGGGTTTCTGTTACTTTCTCTTCCTGGTGTAGGTTCTGATCATCTCCCTCCCTTCCCTCGAGGCACTGGAGAGCGCCCCCAA